ATATCTTCCAGACCATGTTTAAGAGGCTTGTTAGCACATTTTGGAGGAGTGTCTGTTATATCTTCCTAGCCTACAGCTGAAATTCATCTGTTTCTTCAGTGGAAACATAGATACTGTGAGACTGACATATCATTTGTGAATTTATATAAATTTTGTAAAACACCTGGCCAACACCATCTTTTCCTGAAAGAAACTGTAGGTTTTCACGTGAATCGGGAAGCTTTTAATGTTTGGCTGATAGCTAAAGGAAAGAATATAATGTTCAGTAAAGCTGTCATGCGCAGTATCCTGAAAACGTAAGATTTATCAAGAAGTCTCTTATTCCTTTCATTTCCTACTTTTTTCCCCTTGGTAATAGTTGCCAGTCAAGTAGATTAGTATTATTCCAATTTATAATAAATAGACTGTTACAATCAGCTGATGCCTGGCACATCATTTGAAGATACGGTCTAAAAGTCTTTGCACATTTGTACCCAAGTTCTATGCTTGATGTAATAAAGTAGAAGGCTAAACATCATAAAGTTTATTAAACTAGTCCATAACAAGTTTAGCAGACATAATCCTCTTTTTTGCAAGCTTTAACAAGCATGTTTTTCCTGCCCAAATTCAGGAACAAGCATCTAACTCCCACTGGTTTCAAAGCCATGGGAATTAAGCAGGTGCTTAAAGTTAATGAGGTACCTAATTGCTTTGTAGAATCAGGATGGACTGTGGTATTCCAGGTACAGTGAGAAATTATTTTTTATGCTCTTTCTGAGCGAGGAACTTTTTAAGGATCGAGATCTCAGTTGCAGTCCATCTTTCTTAGCATATATGCATAATTTGGTGGTTGAAAATTGTAGCGTTCTGTTGCAATCTGTGTGAATTCAGTTCCAGTATCATTAAAACCATTTTGAGCTACATCAGAAGATTTTATAAATGTTCTAAATAGCATGGCTGAAACCCTGTAGGACTGAGTAATATCTAAGCACATTATACCACCACTGCTTTAGTAAAGGACAGTCAGTGCCCAGTGATGCATACAAAAGAGCTGTAGCATTAAGGGGCGTGGGAACAGGATTTTACCCCAACAGGAGAGGCATTCTGTCCTGGGGGAGGCAGGAGGCTAGAAACATGTCATGAGTATATTCTCATTTGAAGGAGGTATTTTTATCACAGAAGAAAACTACTTCTGGAATTGCTACACCAGATTTTAGCATATTTCTTGGTACTCAGCCTAGTGAGAATTGCGTTGGCCTCCCATTCTCACTCGCTGTGAGAAGATCTGAGCGGTCCCAAGACCTCTCCTGTAGAGCAGGGCAGTCAGGCACTATGCAGGGGGAGAACTGCTGTTGTCAGAAAACAAAGTGGTTGTGGTTGCGCTTGATCATTGTATAAACAGCATAGCACTGAGAAGTAGCTCAAAATTCACCTTGAATCATTAATATTAAATTTATGCACTAAGTCTTACCCTAATGGAGCTCATTTACTATACACATATGCTCTTTAATTAGCATGGCCAACATCTGTTACATTTTCCCCATCTTTAAAGCACCGAGTAATATTTTACTCTTGCATGCTAATGTTTGTTATGGCAAGAAAGACTCCACTTCAAGAGGAAAGGCACTTTCTACATTTGTGCCTCAGAGTAACTTTAAATCGTTTATGGTATTTCTATTTAGAATAATTCCAGAGGTGTGTCTATTTATCTCTTGCATTAAAATTCAAGAAAAAGGTTTAGCTTTTGGCTTGCCTTGGGGGCTAAGCTGTGCAGCAGACATGCTTCTCTGAGATAATTTGTTTTCTAATTGCCATTCGTTTGCTGAAATACAATTAAAGTTATTGCTCTAATATTAACATCAACATCTTGATTGCCTTATCAGAATATGAATATGTATTTTTCTTACTCTGCTTAGAGACATCTTTCACTAACTTTCTCTGAACATGTAGCTCTTAATTAAAGAGAATTTTTAATTCATCTGTAGCAGCATTTTCCCATCAGCTGTTACCAGTTTGCTGCAGGTTCGTACCTCACAGTTGCGTCCTGGATGAGTTCACATACCATCCTTACACCCGGGCATGTGTTAGTCTTCAATACCTGCTTGTACAAATCATTTGAGTTTTGTGTAATTGCCAAAATTAAGTTTGAAAGCAGGGAAATTAGGGACAAACACAGATTTTGTTAAGAACTGGAATATGGCAAGTGGTTGTATGAAAGCTCCGCCCAGCCAGATTATCTAAAGTACACCACGTGGATAGGGGCACTAACCCCTCAATATGAGGAAGGTATTAATTACTTGGTGTACTTAAAATAATGAGGAGGAGGTGTTACTAAGCAGTACAGTCTATTTTGTCCATGTTTTAGAGAACCATTTATTTACTGTAGACAAAACAGGATTAGAAGAAAAAGAAGCACAGTTTTATTTTTAGAAGTCTTTACAAACTTATTTACTTCATTTTTCTTTTTAACATTGCTTTACAAAGATTTTTAATGAACAGTATTCCTTCGGTCAGTAGAAGAAGAATGTTCCACTTGAGATGGCAAAAAACAGATACATTGAAGAAGCAGTTCCATTGAGTGATGAAATTGTTCTTTTTACTGAAAAGGTCCTTTTAAAATCTTTTTTTTTTTTTCTCATTTAGTGATTTTCATTTTATGATAGTGTATTTCCCATACCTCATTAGTTTCTGAGCACATGTAGATATCCCACTGAGTTACATAGAAAATTATTTTGAATATGATAGAAATGCAAAATTGAATCTTAGTTTTGAAAAATAATAATGAAATTGACGTTTATCCTCTAGCGAGTTGTTCTCCAAAATGAATTCAGTGTAATTATAATCAGCAAAAATTAATCTGCAACTTACATAATTTGGGGGTGATTGTTCCATGTTATAGGGTTTCATATCTTAAAATTGAAACAGCAGCCTTTACAGACCTCAACTTGTGGGGATCAAGTGTTTGCTCTGGAGGAAAAGCTTTTATATCTTAAAGTAGGATTCTGAAACATACTGAGATCTTTCCTTTTAGTTCTTATGCTACCACAAGCAAATCTGGGGTTGTTCCACGTTGTCTCCATGATATTATGATGAAGGGACTCCTGATTTTGTAGCTATGATCATTTCAGTTTCCTTTGGGCACATTTCTATGAACTATCCAGAAGCTGCTATTGAGGACAGACATTGATGTCTGAGCTACAGGTCATTACTGGACAATTGGACAACAATCAGTAACCGCAGATGGGAGAAGAATGCCATAGACTGGCTGTGCTTCCTGTAAATGGAAAAGAAGGAAGACAAAAGAGATTGTTGAAGTTCATTATATTAACTGTATGTCTGCAAAGAAGGATGAGTAGCTGGCTAGGACCAGAATTTTTTTTCTACACACTGGAGTTTCAAAACTCTATGCAAGTTTCACAGTGAATTTTATACCATCATATAACATTAATTCAGATCAGACCAGATCATGGTGCAGATAAGAGCATCTAGAAGTTCTTTATCTGTTCGTGAAGTATACTAACACACTTTTTTAATACTGTTTTACTTCATGAATAGATACTCATCAGAATTATTAAAGGTTTAGTGCATCAGTGAAGTGGCTTCAAGAACAGAGAACAATCAACCTACAGAAGACAATATGCTATTTGAAAAACCTGTTTCCAGACCACACATTAACAGTTCTTAAATTTCTAATCTTTAAATTTTGAGACATAAGACTAGTTTTATCACAGGCTTTGTCTATGCTTCTGTAAAAACAGATCCACTCTGCTGTAATTGTTGGCTTAGAAAAAAGTGCTTTTGCTGATAATCCTTGGAGAAATTTTTCAATTTAAAAAATACCAAAACTGCCAGACATACTCTGCTATGATGAAACTCTAAGGATCACTCCTTATTAGCGCAGCTATTGTGGAAGTTTTTCATATGAGTCCTGCTGGGATAAAATACTTATTTAGAAGTTTACACAGAAGTAACTAGAAGCCTTGTGGAGTTTACAAGCTCTTTCATGTTTCAAGAAACCAGTCTTTCCTATTGCTATGCTGTCTCATGTTTGGAATTGCCTAAAGTGCCTTTTTAGTGCATAGATGATGCATAAAAATCAGCTTGCCTGATTGATTTCAGTGAGCAGTTCCAAGGTCAAATGTTATTCAGCTGTAAAATTATCTATTAAATTTTTTTACTAAGGGAAACCATCTGAGCATTGAAGGACAAGATAATAGTCCATTTACAGAATACAAAAGAATGCATTTTGATTGTTCAGCACATCATAACAATAGAGATGTGCTTTGCTTCTCAACTTTTATTTATAGCATTACAAATCTTGGGATGATCACCGGTTGTGAACAACATATAGATAGAAAGGAAGGACTATTGAAATGTAGATCTAGATATCTCACAAGTGTATACAGAATAATTAGACTTGGGAAAAGGAATGAGAGCTTAAGCTTTCTACAAATTTGCCTAAACAAAGAAGTGAAACCATAAAAAAAAAAAAAAAAAAAAAAAGCCATTAAAAACAACGTGTGACAAAAAGAAAATTTTGGAAGTTGCTTTTAGAGCACATTGACAAAGCAAACTAAACTCCTGTGGTTCTAGCTAGAGGTAACATTTTCCAGCAGTTTCAGTTTTTCATGAAGATGAGCTGCTGTGTTCTTATTTTTGGAGATATTTTTAAGCTTTCATATGTTGCCTCCGCAGACGAAGAACAGGTTTTTGGTTTTTTTCTTTTTTCAAAGTGTTTTAGCAAAAACCCTTTTTTGTTTGAATTAGTAGTTTTAGTTTTATCTTTTTTACGATGAAATTTCAGTCATTCCTGCAGACAAAGCTATAGTAAAGTTGCATTTTCAGGCAGTAAAACCTTAGGCAGTGCATGCCTCTTTAAGCCATGTTCTAAGAGCCTGTAAGCTGTTACGTTAATGTGTAGGAAAAGAGTAAATAAAGTCCTTCTGCTTCTTCATAGGCACCCCAGTAAGGTCACTCGGTTCAGAGAGTGCAACTGTGAGAGCTGAAACCTCCCAGGCAGAGCAGCGTGGAGCGGAGAAAGCACTACAAACTCTGAAAGGTATTTGGCTGCTCTGTATGATCCACTTTTCCTGAAGCAAGAAGTGCAATCTTGATTTCCACAAAAACAGCTCCTCTCCAGGTTGCTTGCATTCCCTCATTCAGGGACACCTGGATTCTCTCAGTGCCTCTCATTACTTCCCAATCTTCATCAGAAGATTATGTTAATTTAGATTATGACTTTGAGAAACCTTATTGAATTTGAGGAGTCCTGGTTCTGCAATTAGGTGGTGTAATTAGGGTCTAGAAGAGCACAGCCAATACAGGGATAAGCATGAACTACTCCTACCTTCTTTTGTGCATACAGCGATGGTCAACATCAGCAATTTATCTAAATATCTAAGAATTTTCTTAGTGAAAACTTACAGTTTTACCTCAGACATGAACACATCTCCATTACCTCCTTCATTTAGCTAGTCAACAGATGATTTGCCAAAGAAATCTGATAGCAGTTACTAATATTCTGTGCACACAGCATAATCTCTAACTTTGTGATAATGCTCTGAGATAACCATTTTCATGTGAGCAATTACTTTCTCACCTGGTGATTGTAAAAATGTTTCCAAACAAATTGTAACATATTCCCTACTATTACATGGATATTTCCCCTGGGACCGTGCAGATAACACAGATGTGGCAGGATAACTGGCATTCTTTTATAATGTAGTAAAACAAATTGTGTTTTTATAGGATGGCCTTAATATACAGTAACACAAAACTCTTTAGAGAGGCATCAACAGTAAACTGAAGTTAGAAGGAAAATTTTACCGACAAGTTGCAAAGAGGTTGTTGAGATTTCGGTAACGATGAGGTGTGTGACTGAACTACCAATATGAGTTCAGGCAAATGAAAATGAAGCTATGAAGCATGTTAACAAAAGTGAATGATTTTTATGCCCTTATTTCTGTGATTAAGATTTTACATATTAACATGCAATTTGTCAGTCTAGATGAACGTAATAGAGTAATAGTTACAGCTCTGTATGTTTAGAATGATGGGGAGAATGGATCTTATCATTTATCTAGTTCTTTCTTGACAACAGCTGAACATTTATTACAGTGGTGTGGAAAGGACTGTTTCTATTTGACATAAAAATTATGACTCGCGGTTTTATCATAATTGTTTTTAACTATTTCTCTGAGAAGCAATCAGCGACTCAACTGCTGCAGAAGTGAGGCAGGGAGAGATATATTCTAGTAGCTTATCTGATTGCTGGCAATAATAAACTTTTACTTTTTTTTTCCTATAACCTTATATCTTTCGAGCAGCATGGCCATAACTAACTGCAATTAGTAGTACGGCAATCTCTCGGACAGACAGATAACCAGACAGCTCCTGCACTGCTGTCCTCAGCATTTTTCTATTAGGTAGTCATAATCAGTTGTGTGCTTTTTGTCAGGGTGCTGAGTGTCATTATAATCCTGTCTGAAAATTGGAATTTTAAAGGAATATGATCTAATATCTATGTTCCCTGTTGCAGAGCATTCTCTCTCTGTCTCTATATAATTTGAGTGCTTTTATGCATAGAAAATCTTTGGTAATTAAAAAGCAGAGTTATTTACAGAATTCTGGTGTAATAAAGATCTTAAGTATGCTTTTAATATAGCTCTGTTATCTACTTTATTACATGCAATGTGTCACCTTAACCAGAGGAATACATTCTCAAATAGACTGTGTACAGAAAAGCCAATCGGTAATTTTGCTTAGACTGCTAATTCAGAAGTATAATGAATTACAATTTAACAAAGAGTGCATATCATAGGCTTCATTGGAAACCTGGATTCTGTTTATGTTTGTTTACATATTTTTCTTACCTCCCTTCATAGTGTCTTTTCGGCACTCCATTCCTCTAGCCGTGGCGTTTGCTGCTCTCAAGTTTTCCATAGCTTTTGGACCAGCCAGGCAAACTGAGTGGATTGCAGGTAGGGAGCAGGATTAGTTCAAGGAAAATGTTCTGGTCATTCCTTTCAGCATACCACTTTCATAGGCTTACTGCGTAACAGTAAGTGCATTCTGTTAACAAGTCTGTAAAATTCATGTTCGGATTACTCTCCTTTCTCATAGACCTTCTGGTTTGTTTCTTTTTTTGGGGGGTTAATTGGTATTTTTCTCCCTTTTGAAACCTTTGCAAGTAGTTTAGGCCTTTAGACAAAGAGCTGTCTTTCATAACTTTCAGTTAATGTATTTACTATTCTTATTTGAAGAGATGAATGTTTTTACAGTTTAATCAATATGCCAGTAAGATCAGAGCTTAGTGAGGACTCCAAATGGCTGCAAAGATTTGAAAGTGGTTTAATGAACACTCAGCAGGCAAGAAAATATGCTTTTATGTATACTCAAAACAAAAATATACAAGCTGAGGAGAAAAAAGGCAGGCGATAGCCAACCTTATTAAATGAGAAGTGGCTATGAAATTATTTATTTCATCTAAACTAAATAAGGGCACTTATTGGCTTTCCATATGAAGCACAAGAGAAGTTTTCAGCGTGTTTATGAAACAATGACCTGGTTTTATAAAGAATGACATGGAGCCTGGTTTTAATTAAATAAGTCTTTTTTTTTTTTTTAAGATTTTTTTTCCTCAAGGGTAGACTGATTGCAAGCCATACCCATATCCTAGGGGTCTGAGTTCCCACTCTATTTGTACTGAAGTATATTTATTTTTAATATGGTATACAAGATTCTGTATCTTCTATTTATAATAGAATTTATCATACAAATTGTAGTGTATTGTATTTATTGATAATACTTTGTTAACTTAGTTTTGTGAAGTGTCCAAAAACAGTAAGAGACTGTCTCTATGGCATTTCTTCTGAAATCCATTTCTAGATTCCCACTATTTTTTTAAGAGCTCTTTCCACAGACCCTTTAGGAGTCTGTGTCTGGCAGAGATGTGTGCATGATGTGCTCTCCTGCATGTAGCATTCCATGATGTCCCAGGGCATTTAAATGATTCAATTGGCCTCATGCCCAGAAGGAAATGAGTTGAGATATGTGATGGAGTCTGTGCAGATGGACAGGTGAATGTGGAAAGGGGATACAGGGCTGGCTGGGTAAGGAAAGGACTGTGCAGTACATCAGACAGAGTTCAAGCCCTGTAATTTGAAAGGTGATTTCAAGTCCCCGCTCTGCTATACGCTGTGTGTGAACTTCGACAAATCACTTAGTCCCTGTGTGCTTCAGTTCTCTATCTGTAAAATGGATATAATAGCATTTACCTACCCATGGGGTTATTGTGAGGACAGCTTCATTAAAGGTGTGAGCAACTTAGAAACCTTTCCACTAGATGCACATAAGAAGAATAGCACAAACCTGGGGTCACCTCTCAACTCAGCAAAACAACCACACAAGCATTTCATGTTAATTTTTTTTTTTTCCCTAGCAAAAATTTGAAGCTTTTGAACAAAAATGAACACAGAAACATGGAAAATAAATTCTTAAACTGTTCTCAGAAAGATAAATTCCAGACCAGTTTGCAAAGCCCGAACAAGAACTCTCATGTGTTTCCTGAGCCGTTTGTGGAGTCTGTCATTGGGCTAATGACTGTCTTTCAGCATCGTCCAAACCTCCCTTGATGGTTTCAGAAGTCAGAACTAAACCAGGTAATCACCATTATGAAAAAAGCACACCTTTTACATTGAGGCTTTTCTGTGACATAACTACAGGGCAAATAATAAGGAAGTCATGCTACACTGTTCAAATGCTCTTTTCTGTCTCTTGTAATTTAGGGACAGTGGGGAAAGGATCAACTGCTACTTTTTCCTCTAAAAACAGGATGAGTTTTTAGATTTGCTTTAACTACCTGGTCAGTTATGATTAAAAAATAATAATTTTGGGTGGTAAAATCAAGCTGGTAGTTGGAAAATAAGCTAGAGCTTTAAGAGAGATGGGTTCAAGCCATTTTGTAAGAATCTAGAAAAATAGTCAGGGCTAAATTCATCAAACTTTGGATTCTCAAAATTCTTCCTTAGCTAAACCCTGAATATAGAAGCACTTGACATCCCATGTGCAAAAGTTTCTAGCAGTGATTTTCTCTAGGGACCCTGAGATGTTTAAAACTTTGTGTAGGATGGTGATGTTTGCTATATACCCTGAGTATTCACAAACAAGCTAGTCTTCATGAAAGGAAGGCTCAAATCTTTCCTACCAAGTGGCCTTTCAATAGCTCAAGGGGGTCTATAAGAAGAAAGAGGACAGACTCTTTAGCAGTATCATTTGTGATAGAACTAGAGAAATGGTTTCAAACTAAAAGAGAGAAGTTTTACATTGGACATAATGAAGTTTTTTACAGTGAGAGTGGTGAGTTGTGGGCAACAGTTGCTCATACAGATGGAAACCCCGTCCTTTCAACATTCAACATTCAAGATCAGACTGGTCCAGGCTCTGAGCAGCTTGATGGAGCTGTAGAGGCAGAGGATTTGGACCAGATGACCTTCAAAGGTCCTTTCCAACTCAAATGATTGTATGTGTCTATGATTTAGTAGATTGGACTTTTCAATCTTCTATTGTTTCTGCTAATCTTAAGAGAAGTTGTTCTCTCATTGTTGAGGCTGTTCTGTTCAAGATCCCTAATAAAATACAAATGCATGTGTAAGGAGGAGAACATATTCTAGGATTCACTGCTCTTACAGTGGCCATAACTGAACCCTTTGAAATGTGTTAAGGCTTCAGACCTTAACAACCACAGTTAAGAATCTGAATGAAATTTCAAAAGGCTCAACCAAAGTATTGAAAAAGCTGTGAAACATTGCTTTTCACCCCAAAGTAAAATGTTAGTGTTTCCTTGTGTATCTTAATGTCTCCTTGTGTCAGATACACAAGCCAGTCTGACTGTATAGAATATTACGGATGTGAATTGTAAACTGCTTTATACCTTCTGAGCTTGGTGACAGGATAAAAAGATTTTCCTATAATGGCAAAAGAGAATTGCAATCATTTGGAAGCTGCAGACTGTTCCTTTAGTGAAAGACTGGGTGCCCAGTTTAATTGGTTGTGCTTCTCTAAAAAAAAAATAGCACACTCATTAAAACATCAAAACTCTAGGTTCCAAGATATCTGCTTTTTTGAATTACAGCATGTGTAGAATACGAGAGTTGATAATATTTCACCCTGATTATACTTTTGTAACCACCATTTATAATTTGCAGGCAATCTGTGGGGGACAGGAAAGCTCTGCGTATTATTGATTTATATTGTTGAGATCAATGTTATAAGCATATTCACATTTGTAAAATAGATGGAATGGCTTTATTCTTCTCCCTGAAGTCCTAAATCAGTGTGGAGCTTGTTTTCTCCTTTGTTTCTTTCTTGCTTTTTATTACAAAAATTGAAAAACTCAAAGTAAAATATTAAAATATGCATATTGCCTAGTCTGCCATTGCCTGAGCTGTACTGTGAGTAAGGAATACCATACAGGTATTTCATTTCAGCAATGTATTTATAATCGTGTCCTCTGTAGGAAAATATCCCAGAGTGTTTTATGACAAATCATAAAATATTACAAAGACAATAACTGCAGTGGGGGAGGGAATGTTACGTAGGGAAGCAAGGATTTCACTTTATTATGCAGCAAATTAAATATCAGACGCAAGGGTTTCATATGGCAGCTGCAATACCACCAAGTGCTCTTGTGCACTGCAGAACGTGGCGACAAGTGCTTACAAAGCATGGGCATGAGCCAGACAGCCATGACCGTAATAAGCATGGAGGCCTTTTTTTCCCTTTCAGAATACAACCGTTTTAATATTGTGGACACCTTCAGTTTGTTCTCCCACCTTACATTTTATTAGCAACAACAAGAGCACATTGTTTGTGTACAGTTCCATGTTGCACTTCAACTAAGAGCTTCGTTTTGTCTTCCGAAGGTCCCACTCAGACAACTATGAGGGTGCAGATGTTTAAACCCTAGTTGGATTTGGATAATCATGTTTTCTATTCACTGCACTGATGAACATTGTTCTCATGTTAGATGTGTTGGCTTCCAAGTACTTTGATTTTTAATAGGTTTTTAAGATTTAACTGGAATGTCTTCTACATAATTACAGATCTGGTTGCAAGGGATAGGACTCCAGAAGTTTTCTTGACTTCCTGTGCCCTCACTGCATATTATGCCTTTTATGATAGGGTTTGTCATATTTGAGGAACTCGTAAGGCTATTCTGAATGTTTTGAAAATCTCTTATTTTTTTTTCTTTTTTCCTCTCATCTCCTCCCTTTTCTCCTATTTTTTAGCATGCAACTGGACAGAAAATTGGTCTAAATATATGATATTAGTTTCATTACAACATATGTTTGTAAGACAGGCAGTAATCATACACATAGAGAGAGGTAGAGATTTACATATCTTTGGTCTTTCTTTATGTGCAGCATTTTGAAAAGAATATGGAGTCTCTCTCCTTTTTGAAAATTCTCTTTTGAAAAGAATTGCTCTCTCTCCTTTTTACTAAGGTTCCACTAAAGAGTTGAGGGATTCAGAAGATTCTTTCTCCTTTTGATTGTAAGGAGTTTATTTAGAACTCAACAATAAATATCAGATGCTTAATTTATTCTTTCCAGTACTGAGTCATTGACTTTATCATCTTGTGCGGTGTGCCTTACACTTTGAGTAGTAATCCTCCTCCCTGAAATTCTGTCTTCAGGGACAAAATTGTTGCACAATCTAAGATTTCTGTCCTTATCTCCTCTCTTTCATCTTCTATGCCAGTTTTTCTAAATTTTATCATGACAGTTTAGGAATTCTAATTGTTAAACTTGAATTCTTACGTGCTGCTAAGATTCTCCACACAGGAGTGAATTTCACTGGATTCGTTCCAATACAGGTGTTGGGTTCCTTATAATTATTTCCTAAAGCAGTTTCATTTGTGCATCTCTCTGAGAGGCTTACCTGGCCGACTGTCAATTTATTTGGAATTCTGGGACAGCTCTCAGCTCACTTTAAAGCTGTGTCAATCTTCAGGTAGTGTTATTTCTTGATCCTCTTTTATATGAAACTGATTCCCTTTGATACCTATCTGGCATTTTTTTTATATATAGTTTTATTTTCTTCTGGTGTCATTTTCTGGTTAAAAAAATGTTTAGTGTTCTATGCATCTTTTTTTCTCACTATAGTATTCCTTTCAAACCTTACAAGCATTTTTTTCTTTTATTACGCATATTACAGAAACAATGTCAGATACAATTTCAGCCTACTCTTTCTTTTCCTTATCACTGGTACTCTTTTTAATTTCATTTACTCCTATATACCATTTTGTGTGTGTTTTTGCTCCTTAACTTTTGATACTCTTTGAAGTTAGAAATATTTGTTGTAGTATTTTCTGCCAGATGTCATGGTGGGCAATAATAACATCTAGGTCATATTTTAATATCCAGAAACAATTTTCATTTTTCTTCTGAGTTTTCTTTGTTCACTTCTTCATTCTATTTCCTTTTACCCTACACTTATGTGACTTCTCTAAAGCTCCAGTTTAATGTCCTCACTTAGAAATCTTCCTCATTTAAGATAAACAAAACCAATAGGACTGATTTCGATCTAGCAACTTGATCGTGTCTGGCTTCCTGACAAATCTCATTGATTCCTTTTTAGCTTTTCTTTCCTTACTACATTGTGTACAAATTCTTCTTATAAACCTTCACCATACTTGAGTTGTTCCTTCCTCTTCAGAATTCATGTCAAATGAACTGAAAACTGTGATAACTAACTACTTTCACATCTATGTTGTTTGGTTTTGATTGACATTTGGTTAAACCTCTCTCAGATCACAGTTTTTTTCTGCCAGTTTTTTTTCATTCAGTATCTTTATTTCTGTATTACAGCTGTTTCTCTGTAATGCATGCAGTGCTAGATGTCATCTAGCATACATCTCAGATGTAAACCATTTTCCCACACAACTTAGAATATTCTCTTTAAAATTCTTAAGATTTCTACAACACTCTGATATCGTCAGAACATAGCACTTATGTCTTTGTTCCAAGGCAACTACATCAGGTACATTTTGGGCTGAATCACCATAAGAATTCTCATGTCAGTTAAAAAAAAAAGGCTGAAAAAATGTAGCCTAGAACCTTGAAAACTTCATAGAATCATAAGAGTCAGAAGGTTGGAAAGGACCTACAGGATCAACTAGTCCAATCATCCTCCTATTACCATTACTGTCCACTAAGCTACTAAACCATATCTCATAGCACCTCATCAACTCAGCTCTCTAGTCTTATACATTCAGTGCATGTTTAAATGTCCAGTCATGCAGGGTTGAGGATGTGTATTAAACTCTTTATGTCTTTGTTCTGGTAACTGAAATCTTTCGCGTACTGATGTCCAGATGAAACTGGATTTCTTATACTTACATAAGGAATATGCTATTGAATAGGACTTCTAAATTCTGCCACAAGATCTCTGATCAGCGTTGATACACATTCTAGGAAGAATACTCCTGAAGATACTGGTTATCAAATGGTAAATTTGTATGTGT